AAGTCGGCAGGGATAGTGAGGAGACTATACGGGTGCTAACTTAAAAAAAGTGTTGTTTTTAATAAAACAAAAATATTCAATTTATACCACTTTTAGTAAATGAGTGCCTTGCTGGTTTTCTTAAAGCCGTATGGCAAATTGCCACTATTGCAATCTGTACACTACCGCAGGTTCAAATTTAACGAGTTTTTTATATTGGTTTTTCGAGGCCAAATTGATCAATCGATATATTGGCTTTCAAAAAACTAATGCTGACCGAACTAGTGGTCAAACCGACCGAACGTCGGTTCTATCGAATTGGTTTTTCGAATCTTTTGCTCAACCTTAGACCTTGGAATGGTCTTACCGAGGAGGTTGGACTCGGGATGGTCGTCATGGGGTGGTTGTGCCAAGGATGTCTTGCATGGGTAGTTCACAGTGGTTGACTTAAGCTAGATGTGTTACCATGGTCGTCCGGGGGTTGTCGGTCCGGGTTGGTCGACCAAGGGGTGGTCGCACTAAGTGGGTCTGAATTTATATATTTAGCTAGTTTGTTTGGCTTGTGTTGGTTGGCATGGGTAAGACTGAGTTGGTTGGTCTAGGTTGGTCAACTTGAGGTGGTCCGCCCATGTTATACCGTAAAAAATGGCCAGGTCGGGGTGGCCAGGCTCATATTTGTTAGCATTGAGTGGTCAACTAGTGTTGGGCCGCCCATGGTGGTCCGGCCTAGAATGGTTGCTTGGGTGGTCGAGCCCAAGATGGCAAGGCTTGATATGACTGTCCCGAGGTGGTCAGGTGTTGTCTACGGATTATGTTACCAATTTATATATGTGCAAGTATATACACAATCGTCGCAGCAAGTAATAAAAAATTTGAATTCACAGAGAATAAGTACCAAACACTCAATATTCACCCAAGAAAACAGTACATTAAACTAATAGTTTTTCTTCTGAATATATGCTAAAATAAACAGTAATGAAGGCGTTTTAAACATATTTATAAACACACTTAATGTTCACTAAAACTATCAAACATGAACAGCAAACAGATGATTTTTTATAAAAATAAAGGCGTAAGGGGGAGAGAACCGTGACTCTTTCTAGGCTACTCTAACGATGCTGCAGCATCAAAGAAGTGAATGCAGTGGTCAAACAGACAAGATGCTTTTCCAGCATCCTAGATTTCCTGCCATTAGGGTTCTTAGACAAACATTAACAGCATATATGCACGGTTTTTAACCAAGCTAGGTGATGCTTGTCCTAAGTTACCACACTCTAACTCAAGTAGAATGTAGCTTGAGATGATGTTTTTCGCTCCCTAATACCTTTTTCCAAAGGTTATTAAGAAGGTATTTCAATATGGTGATCAAGAACATTGAAAATAGAGTGATACAACAACTTCAACTCAAAATACACTATCATTAATGCAGAACAACAAAGTTACAGCCCTTGAAATGAGTTCACACAATATCTCCCCTTTACACAAGGTGTTTAGCTAAACAATGCCATGAGAAGAATAAAAAATATAGGAATAAAAATAATACAAAGAGCTTAAAAGATGAAGAGAGGGAGCTGAAGATCAGCTCCCAACAAGAGTTCTCGACTTCTTTCTCAGTTACAGTTGTCTGATCTTCTTCTCCTCTTGACTTTCCCGAACAGTTGGAGAAGTTTTCTTGAAGTGAAGGTTGAGTGATTTCAAGAATGAAATGGAAAATGTCTTGTATGTCCGGAGGCTTCTCTTCTTGTTGGCATTTATACCTCCCTCCGATTTTAGGGCAACAAAACAAGCCCTGTGGGGCCTAGCTCTCACTCCCAGGTGAAACCTCCAGTTACTGTGGTAAATTCCGTTGAGAAGTCTTTTCACTGCCAGCTTGCTGCTTTTTGGACCCGATGCTGTAGCATCATCAAAGCCGTAGCAAAATGCTCAAAATTAGATCATTTATATAGATGCTAGCATTATATAGGAGAACCTTGATTTTTTCGCTAAATGAGGCACAACTCAATGAATATGGGGGTTAGATGAGGCTATCTTTGGCTATCTTATATAAGATCTAGATACAAATAACTCTCTTTTGGAGAGTTATCATCAGGCTTGTGCTAATCACCCTTGGTGGGATGACCTGGGTGGTTGACGTAAATGGTTGGCTTGGGGTGGCCGACTTGGGTTGGTTGGCCTTTGCTGGTTGGCTAAGGCTAGGTCGACTCAAGGTGGTTCAGTTTGGATGGTAGGACTTGGATGGTCGGATTGGAGTGGTCGGGCTCTTGCTAGTAAACTCGAGTTAGTAATCTAAGAGTGGTCAGGCCTTGTCTAGTTGTCCTAGGGTGGTTGGGCCTAGGTTAATTGACCTGAGTTGGTTGGCCCGTGCGGTTGGCTTAGACTGGTCGACATAGGGTGGATGGGCTTAGGATGGTCGAGCCTAGGACGATATCGTGAGTTGGTCAGCCCTAGTGGGTCGACCTAAGTTGGTCATCCATGGGTGGTCAACCTCAGATGGTTATCCTAGGGTGGTCAACTTGGTCTAGTTGACCCGATATGGTCATCTAGGAGTGGTCGATCCGGTTGGTCAGCATAAGCTAATGCTTGAGATGGTCTTCCTAGGGTTGTCAGGCCCATGCCTTTGGCTCAAATTAGCTAGTTTGGGTTTGTCTGGCCCAAGGTGATTGTCTCAAGTTGTTTGGCCTATGCTAGTTGGCTCGAGATGTGGTTAGCCCAATTAGTTGGCCTAATTTTGTTTGCCCAAAAAACGTCTAAGAAAAGAACCCTTGTTGGAGGGAAGTAGAGAAATGGATGCAATGTTAGGGGCAATTTTAGCATTGAAATTAACGGATAATTTTAAGAGGTAATTTCACATAAATCATTTCAACAAAAGTCACCTACCAACAAATAATTGAAAAATTACTTTAAAATAATTTTAGATTTACCTAAAATCAATTTTATCCCTTCCCAAACATGATCCTTTTAAAAGAAAAGTGATAGCAATGACAAAAGTTATTTTAACCATGCCAAAATCACTCTTAAAAGCACCCTTAGTAGGTGATATTTGGTAAGGATCTTACATTGAAAAAAGAAATCTAACCAGGATTTATAATATATGTGGATTATACTTGTTAGGGTTGACTTTTTACTATAGAAACATGTGTCAATTGGCCTGTTTGACCACAATTTTGACCCATTTTCCAACATTATTTGCCAAAACGAATAACATATTCTTAAAGTAGAATATGCATAAACATTTCTGCATAAAAGTCAAATTATGATACTTTAGAAAAAATATGAGAAAAATACAGTCAAAGTTGAAAGAAAATAACAGTTCTCTGTTTTGCAAGAATTGCGCCTGGCGCAATTTTGGACATCAACCTTGGCAAAATGTGTCTTTTGATTAATGAGGGGCAAGGAAGACATTCTCCATGTGTTTGAATCAAGTTGTTACTATCCCTATAGCAGCAAATCATCCCTTCCAAGCTTGTTTTCAGCTTCATTTACTTTCTCCCTCATTGTATAACTCGTTCTTAGGTTTTAGATTCAAGTTCTAGTTGTTATTTCCTTGTATTTTCATACTTTTGCTTCTCGTATTGCTTTTAATTCAAGTTCTACCTTTTGTTCTACATTTATTTTGTTCTTCTTAAGTTCTTTAGCGAGTTTACACTCCCCTCATACTCAAGAAAGGAGAGKGTCAAGTTAGAACTTCTTATACGATTCGTTTATTTATTTTAATTCAATGAAAAAAAATACTTTCTTTATATTTTCGTGCATTTTTTTTTCTTCAAAAATGTTCGAAATTAGTTATCAACCTCTTTGTGGAATGCCTTAGTCAAAATGATTTGATTTTCAACACGCTCGGGATTTGCACAGAATTGCACCTGACACTTTTTTGGGTTGGTTTCTAAAAACTTCTCTTTACGTCTTTCTTCCATTTCACCAGTGGGAACTTGATTTATACACTAAAGTCCAACCCTGAGAAGGGTGAGTTAGGTAAATTAATAGGAAACCAATACGAGATGTGACTTAGACATAAGCGCATAAAATATGGTCCTAGACATAGGCCTTCTGACCCATAACGCAAATGAGTTGATGATAATTATTCTCTAGGATTGTAATCACATGTCGACATATGATTGTAGGTTACCCTAGCCTCTGCAGCAACCAAAAGCGGTAGTGAAAGAGTAGAACTCAGATTCCCGAGAAAAGCTAGAATTGCCCCTGGTGCATTTTCCCAACTAAGTGTGTTTTCCATGTTTTGTATCAAAACTAAGGCAGGAAGCAAAGAGGTTGAGTTTTATTACGTTGCTTCATAGTTAAAATCCCGAACAACAACATTTCATCACATTTTTCTTCCTAAATCACAATTACATATTTGAACCATTTCATGGCATTACTTGATTTTGAAAAGCGACAAGTCCCTGAGGATTCGACCTTGAATTACTTCCGAGTATTACTTGTGACCGTGTGCGCTTGCACGAGTCTCTAATCTTTTTTAAGGTAGTGAAAGTCTCAACAATGCTCCTCTCATTACTAATTCTATTTGAGATAGAAATCCATGAATATTGAAAATATTTGTTGAGGCGATTGATAGGGAATCATAACCCAGTGTTTAGCTTAATATCTCATATTCTCTGAACGAATAATATTACGCCACGTTTAGTGTTTCTTTTTGGTTGTCACTATTTATTTGTATTCTTACTTCTTTCTTATTATTAGTAATATAATATATAAAATTTCACCCATATTTTCCCTCCATTATTTTCTTTCATCGTTTCTATCTGAAGTATTTTCGTCAAGTGCAATCCACTAAATATGTAATTAACTCATCCTAGTTTAGTGAAGTAGCTGACAACTTAGTGTTGTTCTTAAATAGTGTATCAAAGATACAAGAAAAAAATCATGGCGCAGCGAAAAGAAATCTACTATGTAAAAATTTATTAAAATCACATAAAATTCTCTCATGGATTCCAATTATACAAAATATTATCTCAAAGTAAATATCACTCGATTAATTAGAGTCGAGGAGGACGAGGTAAGAGAACAACCAAAGAGAACTTTCATGAGACTTGATTGAAAAAACAACTCTCTTTCATTAAAAAATGCATACAGGTCATTTAGCCCGTGGGAACAGTAACAAATAAATTTATAAAAGATACAAGATACAAACATACGAAATAATCCATAGTAGGTGCTACCACAACACCCAAGACTTTTGCCACTGCACCATCCCAGGAGACGATATGACAGATTTTTCATAGATGAAAAAGGAAATTTTTAGCCTTAAGGACTTAGTCGTAGCTTTCTCTCTTCTGATAACATTTTTGCAAATTCAATAAGGGCTTCTTCATTGGTACCTTCATCAACTGGTTCAAACTTCCCAGATTCTAAATTTACCCTTGACAATGGTTTCTTCAGCAAATTCTCCCCCACGTCTATAAGCTTCTTTAAATTCTCTTTGGTCGCAATATCCACAGATGATACGTCACCAATCAGTGTGTCATCCTATAAATATCCATAATCATACATAAGGATTTTCTTTAGTGATATTTTTAAGTATGTATTATGTATAGAGTCTTGCCTCTGTTATATGAATTTTTTGTTTTTAATTTTAAAATCTTACTCAAAACTTTAAAAGTTAAAAGTATTTAGGTTAGATTAAAATTTTTATTATGAACTTTCGTAGCTACGTCTAATAGATCTTTGAAATTTTAAGAAGTATCTAAATTTTTTGCGTCTAATAGGTCCCTGAACTTTAACCGTGTCTAATTAGGTCTTTGATAAACTTTTAATTTTTGTATGTAGTATCCTAAATTTTAACAGTGTCCTTTAATAGGTCTTTCAACTTTCAATTCTGTGTCTAATATGTTCTTAACCTATTTTACATTTTAAATTAATCACGGATCTATTAGACCCAAAATTGAATGATCAAGGTCTAATTTTCGTCACTTTACAAAAGTGACAAATAGATCAAGGATATTATTAGATACAAAATTGAAAATTTAAATACCGATTAGACATTTTCTAAACCTAAACAACCTATTAAACATAGTTCAAGAAATCAACTTACAATTTAATCAAAAGTTTACCTCCTCGATCCTCCTTGTTGAACTTCTAAAAAAACCATTTTTATTTTTGAAATTCGAACCCAATTAATTTAAAAAGTGTTTTCTAGAAAGGCGAAATACAAAAAGGAAAGTTAAAATAAAATAGTAATTCGCCTAATAATGATGGTAAAAACCATATATATACCTGAATACGAAGATAATTTTTTTGGCAATGTGTAGATTGGAAGATGCTAGAAATATGATAGTCGACCATATCAGAACTAGCATCACTGAAAATGTCAACTATAGGTGTTGCTCCACCGTCGTAGATCCAACCAAGCATACCCCATTTTGAAGATTTAGCTGCACTATATTTGCCTTCATTTTTAGCTGTACCAGTTCCTAAAGAAAGCACCAACATCCTTTTTGTTTCCATGGGTTTTATCTTCAAAAGATCCATTCTTCGTCTCAATATGCTGATCTCTTTTGTCACATGGGTCATGGCAGCTAATGTCTGAATATCAATTTCAACCAAAACATTATGTTAATTAATCACCCTTTTAATACCATAATGTAGTTTAAATATTTGTTTTAGTCCTCGATGTGTTTGGATATTTTTTCAATTTAGTTACCGTTAGTGAATGTTAAAATTGATTGATGATAAACTTAGATGGAATAATATTTAATGAATCTACGGAAATTTTAAGGAGGAAAAAAGTATATATGCCAGAAAGTTTATTTCGAGTTTTCTTTCCAAAAGATTTTCTTTTCCTCTAAAATTATGCTAATTCACTAAGTATTATGTCATGTAGGTTAATCATTAGCTAATTTGAACATTCACCAACAGTGAGGGACTAAATTGAAAAATTTCAAAACGTAAGGGGACTAAAATGAAACTTTTAGAGACAATAGAACGAAATTGAAAAGACACCCAAATATCTTGGACTTAAGACATATTTAGCCTAAAATGTAGTAATACAAATGAAAGGGGAGAGACTTACTGGATTGTTTGCTGCAACTCCACCATCAACCATATCAAAATTACGGGTATTTCCCTTGGAGTCTTTAGTTTGAAATTCATGACCTGGTAAATATGTTGGTGCTGCAGAGGTACTAATGCAAACATCTGCTAACTTTGGATTCTTTAACTCGTTCCATTTTGCCTGAACTTTTACACATTATTAGTCCAATCCAGCCAAAATTTATATATTTCAATATCAAATATTAATTGATAACAAATTTTCATACATCGATTGTGGTGAAAATCACAGGTTGAAGAAGCTTGATGTCAAAAGCTGGAATAACAACTTGGGTTAATGTTTGCTTAAGTGTTAGATCTCCAAGCAGTCCATTTATCAATGACCTCAAATATTTGCCATCGTACTTTGGGCCCATAACTTGCCCAAATAAATTTGCCACTGAACTTAACAAATGACTGGTTCCACCACAAAAACAACAAATTCGGTAAATGAACCCATAATAAGTAAGGTTGGGAAATTGAAAGTTATAATAGAGAAAAACGAGAAACTGACTTCCTCTGTGGAAAGATCTTTGGAGCATGTTCTAAATAGAAGTGGGTGAGATCTTTTGCAGCATATAGAGGTCGATTATTCTTGTCAGGAGCTGAAAGCATGGAAGTAACCAAACCACCTGTACTTGTTCCAGCAATTACATCAAAGTAATCTGCAATTCTCACATCAGGGCCATCCAATTCCTAGTTGGAGCACAACACCCACAAAAAATCAAAACTTTCATATAGTCGAACATTATGATAAAATTGACAAATAGTGTATATATATAGATATTTCAAAGTCACGTCAAACTCACTCTTGGTGAATTATTTCAATCTATAAGGTATATATATATTGTGAATAACTATTACCTGAAGCTTAGACTCGAGAAAAGCGAGAATAGTTCCGGGAATGATGCCTCTAATACCACCCCCATCAACACTCAAAATTGTTACCATCTTCCCCTTTGCAAAATCAGCTGCCATGTTTGATTTGTAAGAGAGAGAGAAGAATATTTTTGGTTTGCAATTGTAGTTTTGGAATGTGGAAGATAAGCTTCTGAAAGTGGGTTTTTATAATGGAACAAATTGAGGTTTGAAAATGAAGAAAAGTAGGTATTCTTCAACTAAGTATGGGCCATGGAGGTCAAATAATAATTCACGACTTCCAACCCTGCTTTTATTTTAGGTTTCTCAACACGTGATCATATTATTGATCTTATCAACAAATTGATTTCAAATTTCCCACTTGCCTTCTAATTTGCCTCTTCCGCCATATTTTAGATTTTGGTACTCAATTTAATTTTTAACCAACCACCGACCAATTCGGAATATCGGTGATATCCATTTGGTGATGGAAAGAATTCTCTACTCCTATGATAGGAATAAGCAGAAAATAATTGAAAATTTTAAATAATACAGCAGAATAAAGAAAACACAAGAATTTACGTGGAGAACTCTAAATCGAAGAAAAACTACGTCACACAGGAAAAAATCGACTTTGTGAAAAGTTATTGCAATCACATAGACTTTTCTCCCCGACCTCAATTACAAAAAGCACTGCCTCAAAGCAAAATATCACTCCTTAGGATACTAAGCTTAAATGTTTGAATTGAGATGAGTAAAACTCAAAGGCATGAGCTCTTTTATAGCACTTGAGCACACCTCTTCTACTTTTTGATGGGGAACAATTTGCTCTTTTGATATTTGGCCAAAATCTAATATTTGGTAACATTCTCGTTTTTTGTTTTTCTTTTTAATTTGAGACATAAGTCTTCATTTGGCAACGTTACCATTTCTTGTTTCTCATTTTCATTTTGATTAAAAAATTTAAGTATTTGACAACTATTTATGTTACTCATTTCTCAATTATTCGTTCTTAAAATTTTAAATAAAAAACATAAATAATTTATATGAAAAATATTTAAATTTTTATGATATATTTATTTTTTTTAATTTTTATTACTTCATTTGTAAAAGCCACGAGGGAAAAATAATAAACAAATTATTTCGTCATTACTTAATTTGCAAAAGCCACGAGGGAAACAACTCTTCCTTAAAACTATGGATAAGCATCTTTGGCAGCTAAGTATGTGCTTAATATATTGCCTCCACGATTAACATGAGAGAACACAATTTTATTTTATTCAGAAGGACCACAGTCTTACTGATACTTAATCTATCTGAAAATTTAGTAATACGTTCCCATGTGTTTATGGGTTGAAAATCGTACCACCACGTGAAGGACAAAAATGTCTAACTTTGAAGATCTTTCCTTTGGTGGCCGATCTAAAGAGCGCCACTGAGGGCTGACTTGAAAGTTTTACCTGAAGGCATTGCCGGATGGCCGACCTGAGGCCTTCCCTGAAGGCCAATCTTGAAGGTCTTCCCTGAAGATCATTTAAGGGAGGAACAACCTTCCATACTTAACCAAATTCCAAATGACAAGAGTATGAATTGAAATAGCTACTTTCGACAGGCCGACCTTGGTCCCTACATGCTCAACCGCTGGTCGGATTCGTTGTCGGCTACCTCAACCTATAAATAGGGCACTTCACTCTTCAGTCAGGTATCATATTCTAGCTCGGTCTTCATATTGACGTCGGACTAAACTGACTTGAATGTCGGAGTGTTTGTTCCCTTGTGCAGGTTTTTCCTCGCTAAGTGGCCTTTGAGCTCGTTCTTGACACCAGCTCATCCCAGTCAGCCGACCTTGACCCTCTGAGCTAGTCATCTCTTTCCAAGGATACCCAAGCTCTTCCCGCGATCATACCTGGAGCAGGTCAAGCACTCCCAACGGTCATACCTGGAGCAAGTCGAGCTCTTCCGCATGGCCGACCTTGGCCAGGTCATACCCCGTCACATTTTTTGCATAAACACTTTAACAATGAAAAGAATTAATAAGGACACCAATGTTAAAAGATTTAATATAAAAAAATTGTTGCCAACTTATCCCTAAAATTAATTAGAAGATTTATAGAGATACATTTCATTATAAAAGTCTAATAAAATATTTTTATGGAAGATGCCTAAATTATTCCATTTTTTATTTTTAATTTAAAAATAATTCAAGATTTTTTCACTACCCCACATGATTACATCAAAATATTTGTTTTTTCTTCGACGTCATTTAACCATCCAAAATGAATATGTAAATGGATTCTGCTCATTATTTTTTTTAACTTATTTTTTAACAGGGTTGTTATATATATATATATACATAGTTATACTTTGCTATTTACGTAATTTTCTCATTATAAAATTGAGTATAAGTATTTAACAACTTTAAATTTAAAGAAAATATAGAAGATAAATTTATAATAAAAATATATATAAAGTAATTGATTCAATCAAATTATGAGCTATTTCTTTTAATAATTATTACTAAACTTTAACAATAATTAATAATTATTAAATTATATCAAAGATCAATTAATATTTATAAATAATTTATTTTTTTGATAAATATATTTACTATAATTTTTTATAAATACTCAACTTTTTTTAAGTAAAATTAGCATTAATATATAATACAATAAAATTGAAATACCATTTGCAAGAAACTGAAACTAGTTAGTGTGGTTGTCATTTGGGAAAATTTCCAATCCTTTTTGGTATGAAAATTTTCCATACTCCATCTATTATTAAAGTGTGTCATGTGTCTTTATACAAATAAAAAATTATATATTTTTTCAAGTGATGTTCATATAGCCAACATGAGTATAACTCATCGGTAATTGACATGTACTCTTCCCTCAACGTCAAAGATTTATTTTCCTTGTCATCTAAATGACATGAAACTAAAGCATAACTTACAATTTGGACAGCGACCGATAGCTCAGTCAAGGACGAGCCGACTTATGAGATCAAGTCAACACCTCACTTCGCTTACGGTTACCTACTTTTCGGACAACACGCCGCGATTCACGGGACTGTCGTAATGGTGCAGTGGGCTATGTGGGACATCGCTCTGAAACCTATAAATAAGGGGACTCGGTTCATTTCTAAGTACATAGAACTGTATTCTTTCGAGTAATAAATGAGACTTGAACTGACTTGAGCATCGAAGTTGTTTACTTTTTCTATGCAGGTTTCTTCGTTCGACGGTCCTACCTGAGTCCGAACTTCATTGAGTTGGTCAATTTCTTTGTCAAACGCAAATCATTAATTTCTAATTTGACGGGTTAAATGAGAAATAAAGAAAATTTGTAACCTTGTAGCTGTCTTTGGTCAATTAGAGAAAGGGTTATGATCCCAATGTTAGAATTACCGCGTACACCTTGATCATGAGTGAGAAATTGTTTGTTCTTCACAAAAAGGAAGAAATTGGAATATCGAATCCAAATTTCTTGACTTTTTGCAACAGATTCATATATTCTCAGTCAGCTTAATTCTTTTGAGTTCGACATGGAAAAATTGATTTATAGCTTAAACTTGGTTAATTATTTATCGGTTTTAATTTTCCATCATAATCGTTGTTGATGTGAAAATCTGGCAAGACACAATAGGCGACTTGGGAGGTTGGCTAGCTATACTTAAAGTGATTCTTGGGGTACCTGCAAGGAGGTAAATCACTCTGACGCCCAAGTCAGTAAGTAATCTAAGCTCAACAGATCAGTTTCAGACCAGTTTCAAACCTGGACTCATGATGCAGTGGTGTATTTATAGCGGTCAATGGGGCAGATAGTTGTCCCATCCAGACATTTTTCTACTCTCATCGGGTCCTTCGGATCCACCTTTGATCTATGCTTCGAATCGATCCCTCCCCTGATCCTAGCAAATTAACCCTCGACATCTAGTTTATCTCCTAAGTCCATGGCACCGACTTGTTAAGTCGGCCTTCGTGGGGTTCCTTGAACAGGTCGGTCATGCACAGTTTGACCCCTAACATTATTGGCCCTCTCTCAGGTAGAGTGACGGGTCATTCACGTGGGAGACGTTGAGAGGTGCCGAACGAGCTGTTCCTACCCCTGTCCCGAATTGATCGCGGGTCATGGGCGAATCAGCCGCCCCGACAGGGGCATTTAATAGCAGTCTGGGAATTTCCTGTCAGGCGTGCCATTCAAGGCACTCTTGAGCACTTAACCGTCTCGCTAGCGCGTAATTTAGGCCGCTTGAGAGGTGGACACGTGTAAGGTGGAGATCGCATCCTGTTGCCAATAAATGAATCTGAGTACATCCGTCTCATTTCACGCTTCTAAGATTTCTTTTACTCTCGTGTCGAGGTTAGTAGCTCGTTCCTCTTCTTTCCTTTCGTAGCTAGGTCGTAGCGATGTTTGATAGGAGTAGCAGTAATTTTAGGTCGGGGCCTGGGAGCTCGGAGGAGAGCTTCAGGTTACTTTTAGAGGGTTCCCCTCTTTTAGCGTCTTCGAGTGACAGGTTGGCCTCCAACAGGTCGTCTTCTACTGAGTCGTCGAATGGTAGGTCTTCTTCCCACACGGGTGAGGACGACATGCCTCTCTACCTAGCGATTAAGCCTTATGTATCCCTTCATATGATCCCAAAAAGCAAGAGGGTAGTCCCATCAACCTAGCCGACAGCTACCTAGCTTACTTTAAGGCTAGGTACGACATCCCTAAGTCCATAGGGTTGAGGTTCCCTAGGAGAAACGAGACGGTAGATAATCCTCCTAAAAGACACGTCGCCTTTTATGAGAAGATATTTGAATTCGGGGTTAGGCTTCCCTTTCACCCTTTCGCGCAAGAATTTCTAGCCGAGGTCCACATCGCACCTGCACAGCTGTGCCTAACAGTTGGGGCATCCTCCTGGGCTATTAGATGTTCTGGTGGGGGCTCGGGGTAGATACTGTAGGTGCAGATTACCTTACCCTGAGCCAATTCCTCTATTTTTACACCGTAAAGAACCTCCTCAGAAAACTAGGGCGGTATTACCTGACTGCTCGGTAGGGGTCAGGGTCGTGAGGGTGAGTTGAGTTGACGGGTTCCTCGCCACTTCAGCAACCTAGATAATGCCCCTTTTCCTTGGTCGCCCACGATTTTTTGATCTTCTTTATCCTAACTTGTTCTTCCTTGCTCGCAGTTCTTCCGAAACTTGTCCCCCGACCTGAT